CACCACCAGACCACCACCTCCCAAGAAAGCAATCACATGCACCGACGCAGCTACACGCCTAACGTGGACGCGCGGTTTGTGTGGAGACACGATCACGGCACCTGTCAACACCGTGCCCCACGCCGTGGGATGGAGTTGGAAAGGCAAGGGAAAGAAACAGATCAGGAAGACACGGAAAGTCCACCCGAACTACCACATCACCCACGAGCGTGCGAAGCACCTACGGAAATGGCACCCTGGGGAAAACTGGCAGGACGCTGGTAACTACCGACCTTCAGCGGAAGTGCCGATTCTGTCCCACGACGTGCCCGACGACAAGGTCGCATGGACGTGCCCAGTGTGCGACATCCGCCAGCCTTTCTCGAAAAACACAATTACGTACAAGAAGATCCGGCGGGAGCACCGGCTGAAGGAGCACCCCGAGTACGACGACCAACAATGGCGGTGCCTAGTGCTAAGGGCTACTCTGCTGAAGAAGTCGCCCGACGGCATGCTGGATACACGAGGTCAGCGGGACAAGAGAGCCAAAAGCCAATTAGTCCTGCCTCCACTGCCTGTCCACCAGATCCGGCCCCGAGCAGAGCGGCTGCGCCGAAAGCGGGAGGCACGGGAGAGGAAGAAAGCAGCAGGGCGCTGCTGAGGCGGAGCCAACCGCCACGACGACCAATCCCACGTCCGTCCTCCCTCCCCCTCCCCCTCCTCCCTCCTTTCCCCTCTCTGCGGGATGTACCACGCCAGCCGGACTACAGAAGGCAGGTGCGACCAATACGCCAATAAAGATGGGAACGATCAATATCGCATCTTGGGCACAGCATGGCAAGGACCTTCTGGCTACCGCCGAGGAGCTGGAGCTGGAGTTGCTGGCACTGCAGGAGCATGGGTGCCGGCACGCAGACATACCCAGGGCAGGCAAGCTCGCTGCTGACCACGGGTACGTATGGACGAGTGGAACCTCTTGTGACGACCATGTGGTGGGTACCGGGAGGAGTGGTAGAACACGGGACGAATGTGGTGGCCTCAGTGTGCTGACGACGGGCCGTGTCCGGGTCACCCGGATCGCGTCTGAGCGCCGGACGGGCACTGGGGGGGCTGTCGCTGGGGGTGAGGGTGCCATCTTTCACATCCACACAGCTCACCGTACAGCACTGCTGGCTGTGGTACACTTGCGGGCGACGACGACGACGACGCACGGAATGGCATGCTACAGTGGGTGGCAGAACAGCACGCTACGTTAGGAGGGGGGATCCCACTGCTGATCGCTGGCGACAACAACACTACGCCGGAAGATCCCATCATTACCGAGACTGCACGGTTACTGGGGCTCCGGGTCCAGAGCCCAGGAGAGTCCACGAGGTGGGAATCGAGCTGGGAGATCGACTTTTTCATGGTCACGAAAACTATGACAACTACCAGGGCTGTGGCGAATACGCATACACTATCTGACCATAAGTTGGTGACAGTGGATGTGCAGTTCGACGCACCACAACCTATTGCCGGATGCTCGTGGCGGCGTGCGGCACGGTACGGTACGCTGAAGACGACTCAAGACGCAGCACGAGCGGACGCACAAGGCACCGCAAACACGACCACGACGCAAAGCACGAGCAGACCAACAACTCAGCACGACCCACAACAACATCCAACACGCGATCATGGCGCAGACGCAGCACCACGCAGCACGCCCACGACGCAGCACGAGCAGACCCACAACGCAGCACCACCGACCCATGGGGACATCGTGGAGGGCCTGGTTGCCCAGTGGAGGGCTTTACCAGCTTACGACATCCATGACGGCACCGTGGACGAGTGGTGGACGGACTGGAGTGCACGAGCAGAGGCAGTACTACAATCCCAACCCGCGGTGGTCCTGACCAAGTGCGCTGTCCCTAAATCTGACTTCTCATTTGCCCAGTGGGAGCGAAGGGAGAAATGCGACGACGTCTGGACCCGGCACACGCGGCAACTGCGGCAACTCATCCAACGGCTCCGGTCCCCGCCGGCACGGCGAGGGCGGAAAGCAGCCAGGAAGATAGCACAGTGGGAACGGCAAAATCGGAAGTTGTGGCAAAAGAATATGGGCAGCGCCAAGCCGGACGACGACCAAGAAACCATCGAACAAACTACCAAAGCGCTCGGCAAGGCCATCCAAGGGTGCAAGAATGAGCGTGTCAAATGCTGGCGGAAGAGGCTCCAGGCAGATGGTCTTGGGAAGACCACAGCAGCTTGGATCCGGAACGCAGTGAGCACCTACCACAACGTAGCGGTGCAGGACGACACCAAGAGCGACCATGACAGCGGGAACTTGCAACTACACGACGACTCCACGCCCACCAACTACTTTTCACAAGACGCGGTGGACAGAATACGGGACCACTCCGAGCAGCACTTCACGGAATGCGGCCGTGGCAACGATGTGGACGGGTATTTCTACCACTACGACGACTACATTGAGGAGGCACGCCAAGATGTTCAACGAGCACAGGAGCAACACGACCATAGAGCACGACACGCCATGGCAGCCCTTGGCTGCTGGGACCACTGGGCGCCACCAGCGGCAGCACAATTCCGCCACATGCTACACGGAGGCACAGCAGCAGGGCCAGACCAATGGGCGCCCTCGGAGCTCATGCTCCTCCCGGAGGAGGCACTGGAAGAGCTGGTTGACCCCTGCACATATTCTGAATACCACGGATGGCCGTCGCAACTCCTGCAGTGGCGCCAGGTCCACCTACCAAAAGACCCAGACACAGCACTCCCGAGCCTGACCCGACTACGCCCTATCGCAATCGCGAGCGCCGTGGTCCGCGCCTGGCACAGATGGAGGGCAGACCAACTGGCCACCTACCTCAGCCCAGCTTTCCTGCCCACGCAGGGGGGTGGTCTCAAAGGGCGGACCCTCGAATCCCTCATCGAGCCATGCCTCTCGCTCATTGAGGAGACAATCGCGGCGAACAGGTACGACGACGAGGACGGCTCGCTGACCGAGGAAGAGCAGCGGCTGGTTCGGGAGCGTCAAACGGAGCTGCACGTCAAGTCGTGGGATTATGCCTCCGCGTTCGACAGGGCTTCCCCCCGGGTCGTCTGCGAGGTTTGGTCGCGACTCGGAGTACCGTCCAGAATCACCAACAGTATCGAAGCGATCTGGACCTAGCAGGAGAGGTGGGTTGAGGTCGGCCCGCTCTTAACACCACGGACAATTCTGGTTGAAGACAGTCTGCCACAAGGGGATCCAGCAGTCATGCTCGGGATGGCCACCCTGCTCATGGGGCCACTACGACGGCAAGCTGCTCTGCACCCACGAGCAACCTTTTGCACCTTCGCGGACGACCGCACGGCGGCCACGACAGAGGCAGAAGAACTACGGAGCATCGAGGAGGAGTGGGAGCTGCTGGAGTCGGTCACCGCGCTGCGCACCAACGACAGCAAGACGCATTCCTTCACGATGCTACCGCACCAGTGCGACAATCACCACCTGCAGAGCAAGAAGATGAAATGCCTCGGAATCGGCTTCACGATGCAACGCGCGACGCTCACGACCAGAGAGCGAGGCAAGCTTGAAGAGGCACTTGCCCGCATGAAGCGGATTGCGCGCCTGCCCCTGAGCACGCGGCTGCGCACGACCGCGGTGAGCACCATCGCGCTGCTGGTGTCGAGCTGGGCACTAGTGGTGACGCCACCGACAAAAGGAGCTATCCAGGACCATCTACGACAAGCACGAAAGGCTGTGACCCTGCGGAAATGGCCCCGGGCAGCTCCCGAACTACTTCGTCTGGTAGTAATGGGGCATAGCACCGACCTACGGTACCACCTGTGCCGGCGAGCACCACAACTTCTGAGCAGCAGACTACGTCGACAGGGGCCTGGAGCACTTGCGCTTTGGGACAAGATCGCGATCAAGACCGACACGCGGGGGCCACTCCACGCCTACCGAGCACACTTGGCATCGCTTGGAGCAGAGCGCAGCGACGACGGCTTCTGGAGAGGCCCGGCGGGAGAACTTCGACTTACCGACAGAACAAACCGACAGCTCCACGAACTACGACTCATACTCCGATCCCACGAATGGGCAATCCTACAGGGCCGGAGCAGGCGGGAGAGCCCCATGGCGGCCGGAGTGCCCTTCCCAGCTGCTGCCGCGCGCGCGGCACAGGAAGCACGGAAAGCTAATCCAATCCTCGCCTCACACATCGCCGCCGTGCTCTGCGGCTGCGTGGTCTCGGACGCCCTGCTGCAGTCCAACCAAAGCGAGGAGGTCTCGACCACCTGCGACCACTGCGGTGAGCAGCGCGTCCCGACGCTCGACCACATGTACTGGGTGTGCACAGCCAACGCCGACCTCCGGCAAGGTATCGCGGTACCAGCGGCTGACCTCACCCGCCGGCTGGGCTGGCCGACAGAGGACCTCACCAGGAGGACCACGACTACTTGGACAAAAACGGTGTTGGCTATGGCAAGCATGCGGCAGCGTGCGATGGACCACCGACACAAGAAACCACAGGCACCCAATTCCTCCGACAATGGTTGATAACCGCATTCAATGGTTATTATTTGGATCGCATGTGTCAACAATTGGATTATGTTGTACTTCAGTTCTTCTTTGGGCTGGTGTCTTCTATTCTCCAGGTACGCTGTCTACACATATGTGGGATTACATTACATACTTACGTAATTGCATGTGTTGCGTACCATAAGTGGGGACCGCCACACAACGGTCGCCGCAGCTCTGCGAGCTGCGTGGTGTCCTCATACGCCTACGGATTGGGGACACGGATTGGTTATTCCCTGAACGCGTTTAAGAAGTCGGACCCCGGTCGCCTGGACCCTGGAGCCAGTCGCCGAAACTCGAGAGGCTAAAAAGTTGTTCAATTCCCAGGGCGATACCCCCTTCGCGAGACCGCGAGGGGGGGGGATCTTGCAGCCCTCCATCGGCCCTGGTACGAATGTCTGCCTTGGGGGGCTCGGGCGAAGGCGAGGCAGCCGTGCTGCTGGCGGCGCCTGACTCAGGTGCGGCCTCATCAGCAGCTCCTTGAGCAGGCTGAGCCGCTGCTGCTCGATCGCGATCCCCACCTCCAACAGCGGCAGCGCCCTCCTTAGTAGTACGACGTTTCTTGGCCGCCATCCTGTCACGGTGGGCCTCATGAGCAGCGCGGGCCTCCCTGCCAGAATCGACCACCTGCTGGAAGAGCTTCTGCACGAGCTCCTGAATACCTGCCACCAGGGCGGAACAACGATTCTCGAACTCGAACTTGTCAGCCTTTTCGATGTCCACCTCGGCCGCTGCCAGGTCCTCGAAGAGGTCGTCGCAATCAATGAATGAACCGATTCTGACCTCGTTGGACACAAGGCCACCGAGCTTGACATAAACATCATGAGATGGTGCAGCCGCCGCGTCCTCGACCGCCTTCTCCGCCTGTAGGTTGGACAGGGCGTCTTTGTACTCAGAGCCGGCGGAGGCGATCCGAGTCCTGGATTCGCGCTGCGCCTTCTCGAACTCCACGACTTGCTCCTTGGTCTTCGTGAGCCGCTGCAGATCCTTTTCCACATTGGCCTCCCAATGCTGGACATCCTTGTGTGTTGTTCCTGCATCTTGGAAGAAATGGACATGGGCGGCGGAGGACGCGACCCGCTTCCAAGTGCTTGGCCATGGTATCATATTCTTTGGCTGCCAGCAAGTCCCCTGCTTTGCTGGACAGTTCTGATCGCTGACGAGCTTCCGCCGCGGACACGAGGAACAGGGCCCACTGGCAGAGGCGGGGCTCCACCGCCTGGATGAATGTCTCCGAGCGATGGTCGGACGATCGTGCGATGCGTGGACACGGACGAGTTCCAAGCACTCCAGCTCGCGTCAGCGTATCCTTTGCCATAGCCTCCTTTGCCTCCGAAGCCCTTGCCACACTCGCCGCCCACGAAGGCACCCTTCCCGTATCCGTACATGCCGCTGTTGCTCCGACCATTCCAGCATCCAGGAGGCGCAGCGCTTGAAACCAAGGGACTACCGGCAGCAGGGCCAGGAGGCAGACCATGAGACAACCGCGGCAGCGAGATATGACAACGTTTGCACAAAACGGTTTCGGGGGCGTTGCGCTTGCAACCGCACGACGGACAAGCGAAACCTGTGGCTGGCGGTTTGCTTTTCTTATTCCCTTTGGTGACCCAGGGCTGATAAGAGAAGCGAGAAGAAGGGTCTGGAACCATCGGCCGCCGAGAGTATGGTAAAAGTGAGGATACCGTACGCGAATCGCGATGTGAATAGAGCCTGGCACGGGCCAGGAGAGCAGTTGGGGGGCGCAAAATCCCCCTCGCCACCGGGCCAAAACCTCGAGCGAAGCGCCACGGACTTGAGCCAAAATGGCTACGGAGGACGGGTCGCCTAAGCCCCTCGGAGAAACCCTCCACCACCTCCCCTTCTAAAACAGGGCTAGGATCGGGATAAATCGCTCCAAAGCGTTCCGGAGCGCTCTCAGAGCGTTCCGGAACGCTCTGGAGCGGCCGCGGCGCCCAATACATTCGAATTTCGAATTATCCCGATCCGATTTTGTCCCGATCTTCGCGTCGTTTTACCTTCCCCCTGCCCCGCTCCGTGAAGAAGAGCTTCTTCGTCCGGAACTGCGCCGAGTGGTTGGCACCGTAGTAGGCCGCTCCTCGAGGCGGTGGTGTTCGGGGCGGGCGCTCCCGCGGGACGAGGCGGAGCAGCCCTTTCCCCCCTCTCTTATGTTGCATCCTCGGGGGACTTTATCTGTCCCGTCGCGGCCCTGTCCGCATCGAATCCATGTCGAATCCATGTCGGACACGTCGGATCCGTGTCGAATCCGTGTCGAATCCGCGTCGAATCCACGCCAAATCCGCGTCGAGTCCGCATCGAGCACGCGTCGGGCCCCCAAAAAGACACCCATTTTTGGGACAGGCGAGGTCCCCCGAAGATGCAACAGAACCTCTCCGGACCGCGTTTCGGGCGGCGGTCTGCTGGATCCGTCTCTGTTCAGGATTCGCCCGGTCGGCAGCCGAAAAGGAGTGAACAGGGGCAAGCCACAACAGACGTTCGACCAGCAAACGAACCGGGCACGTCCTCACGCGGTCTTGACATCCACCCCCGCCCGCCCCCCCCCTACCCCACCCCACCCCACCCGCGGCAGATGGCTCCCCTCGCCTTCGCACCCCGAGACGTGTCAACAGGGCGGGCCACGCGCTTCGTCTGGCCCTCGCCCTAGCGCCGCACAACTTCGTCATAAGAGCTTACAACAGGTTCATGGATTCGCATGGTGGACGAACTGTCAGAGCGCAGCAGTCACGTTGATTCGCGGGTGAAATAATCCTACGAACGGGTTTCTGGCACGATTCCGGATCGTCAGGACGCAACATCTGCGTTGATTCGCGGCGATGAAGTCCCCGGGACTGCCTTCTGGCACGGCTCAAGATTTTCAAACGGTTGTCGTTCAACAGGTCCCTCAGTGAGAATAGGCCGCCGTTGTAGAGACCTATGAAGAGGGAGCCGGGAGGGAGGGTGCATTGCAACCTCGATGGTGAGCCTTGGGCTTCCACTGGTCCTCCTCCTCCTCCTCCTCCTCCTCCGAGCTCGTAGCCGACGCTGGCTCGAGCATGGACTGGCAGAGGCCGGGCGAGGCGGCGCACCCCCTGCACCTTGCCACGACCGGGGACGACGCTCGCCGCCGCGATCACGTGCCGCGGCATCGAGCACGCAAGCCACGGCCAGGAGTTGCGCTCCCGCGCTGGTGGGGATTTTTGTCCACGATGCACGCGAGGCGACGCGGAAAAAATCCACCGACTGTATATAGAGGGCGACAGGAGCACAGAGCGCGCACCACTGTCAAAATGAGAGGTCCATCTATCGGCGGTGGACAAACCTCCCTTTAGTAAACCTCCCCTTAGTGACAACGACCTGAGACCGAAAACGACGGACCTGGAACCGCAAAAGTGACGGCCGTGACGCCCTCTCGCGAACCGAAAACGGCCAATTCCTCAATCGACGTGTCAGGGTAGGAGGTCTCTCCACCTCCGAATCTACGTCCAGGGAGACCACGCCCTCTTCGCTGCTCCCCGCCGCAGCTTACAAAGAACGCCTCTGCCGCTCCGCACTTGTGAATCGCCTCCCGGCCCCCCCTCGGACCGGGCGGCAGGGCGGCGCCCGCCCGCTCCCGGAAGCCCGCCCGGCTGGGGCTGGAGTGGAGGGAGCGATGACTACCCACCAGACCACCCCAGCCCAACCCGAAGACCCGAATTTCGGGCTGGGGGGGGGTAAGGGCTCCACATGTGCTTTTGTCGATGTTCCCCGACCCCCCCCCCCACCCACTGGAAATCGAGGGTAAATCTGAGCCTTCGGGTTGGGTTGGGGTGGTCTGGTGGGTGGTGAGGGGGTGGGAGGAGCGAACGCACCACAGCGCCAATACGTCCGCGACCTCGGATCGCAAACGGAGATCTGGCTCACGCCGCACTTCCGACGCACCGGCGGTGTGGCGCGGTCCTCCGGCCCCGCATGCTCCAGCCCCACTGGGAGCGGCCTGGGGTTCCTGAGCCGCGCGAGAGCCAAACACATCTCTGCTGTCGAGGTCGTGCCTTCCCGTAACCAGGTTTCCCCTCGCGCGAGCAGCGCGCCGCTCATCGAGCGAGGCGCCGCAGCGGAGCGCAAAACCTCCCAGGCTCCTCCTCCTCCTCCTCCTGACTTCTCCTCATCTCCCTGCCTCTCTCATCCGCATCCAGCTGATCTAATCCTCATCATCCCCCTCTGAGCGGACGCGCGGCAACTGGGGATGCGGAGCGCATGATCGAGCGGAGTCTGATCACTGGATCATCCCCCCCCTCCTATTCCTCCGCCTCCTCCTCCTCCTCCTCCTCCTCCTCCTCCTCCTCCTCGTATCCTCGGGAGCGTCCAAGAGGGGGACGTCCAAGAGGGGGGGTCGAAAATCATGGCCTGAGACATGTGCGCGGCCCAGGGGGGGGGGGCAGGGGACGCATCGGTGTAAGAGGGGCACCATGGCACCTGGGAAGAGATCGTGGCCCTGGCTCTGAAATCCCCCCCCCTTAGTCATCACCCCCTCTTGGCCAGAGCCTCCCCGATGGGGTCGGACGCTCGCGCCGCGTCACAGGAGCGTCGGCGACGCATCGGCGCCAGCGGCGTGGGAAAACTCTGCCTCCACATCGAGCCGCATCGTCGATGCATCGGCGACGTTTCGCGATCCTTCGACCTTTTTTTTGTTGGGGGGGGGGGGGGGGCGACGCGCCGTGAATACGGCTGTGCCTGAATGCTTCGCCCTGCGATCAACAGCGTCTGCCTGGCGTGATCCTCCCCCCCCTCCACCTGTTTGAGCAGAGGGACGCCGCTACTCTTACCAGCCTCGAACGTATCCCTATCCCTGAGATTGGCACGCCAAAAGGCGATGCCAATCTTAGGGATTCGCCCTCAAAAAAAAAGGGAATCCCTAAGATTGGCATCGTGACGAGGAGATGCCCAGCATAGGGATAGGGATATGTTCCAGGCTGGTAGTACTCGCACGCTCCTTGCCTGGCTCACGCGGAAAGAACGGGGCCGCACAGCAGCACCTCATCGCTGTCGCTGCCGTTTTCCCGCGCGGACGCGCGGACGACGAGAGGAGGGGGAGGGGAGGAGGAGGAGGAGGAGGAGGAGGAGGAGGAGGAGGAGGAGGAGGAGGAGGGGGAGGAGGAGGGAAGAGGAGGAGGAGGAGGAGGAGGAGGGGAGGAGGAGGAGGAGGAGGAGGAGGAGGAGGAGGGGAGGAGGAGGAGGAGGAGGAGGAGGAGGAGGAGGCGGAGGAGGAGGAGGAGGAGGGCAGGAGGAGAAGAGGAGGAGGAGGAGGAGGAGCAGGAGGAGCGGGCGGGAGGCAGGGGACGCGGCGCGCTCCTGCTGAAGCACAGCCGAGCAGGACATGTATAGCCCAAGCCGCCGGCGAGTGCCACTGCCTGCTGGAAGTGGGAGGGCGGCAGCGTGCCGCCGAAGCCCCGCGAGAGGACCACGCCGCTGGCGGAGCGGAAGCGCGTGCTCCCAGCCGCCGTGGCGCCAGGAGCGTTGACGTAGGGAGCGCCACCTCTACGCCCGAGGCGCCTCCTCGACGCCACCCGGTGCCCAGGGTCCCGAGCGACGAAGCGCAGATGTGGCTCCTCCCCATGGCGCACAGGCCTGTCTGCAGGATCGAGGCCCAGTGCACGAAAGACGTGGCGTGGGCGCAGACGGGGAGGTCCTCTGGGCGGCCCCGCTGGGACTAGGAGGGCGCAGTCGACAACCTTGGAGATGGTGTGCCCCTGGGTGGACCGCACCCACCTCCCTCCGGCCTCCACTCGCATGCAGAAACGCTGCTTCTCGCACGTGTCCACGGCTAGCAAGCGTTTTCTTATTCGGCGGTTCGACAGTGAGCGAAGAGGGGGGGGAGGGGGGGTCTGGCTCTGGACCTCTGCTCAGTGCGACTGGCTGTTTGCGGCAGTGCGTCCTACGAGGGGAGGCTCCACCTGCTCGAAACAGGCGCCCAAAACAGCCACGATATGCTCCATGGGGGGGGGAAGAGCGGGGTGCGAGGGCCCGCGCCGATCGGCAGAACGAATCGCCTACCTGTATCTCCTGCGCGGTAAAGTCGCCACGAGTCGAAGGAGGGCAAGACTTCAGGACGCCCTCCACTCGCGCAGCAAGCCGTCCAGCAGCAGGCGGAGGTGTCGAGCTCCTCTGGGCCCGGTGCTGTAGCACGGGCGACAGCAGCCGGGTCAGCCGCTCAATCCGCGGCACGGCCCTGGAAGGAGCGGGCTCTTCCGCAAACAACGCCTCGATTTCGCGGTGCACAGTTTCACCCGGGGCCGTAGGCGACCCGAGGAGGAGGAGGAGGAGGAGGAGGAGGAGGAGGAGGAGGGGAGGAGGAGGGGGAGGGGGAGGGGGGAGGGAAAGGGGGGGAGGAGGAGGGGAGGAGGAGGAGGAGGAGGAGGAGGGAGGAGGAGGAGGAGGGGGAGGAGGAGGAGGGGGAAGAGGAGGAGGAGGGGAGGAGGAGGAGGAGGAGGAGGAGGAGGGGGAGGGGGAGGAGGGAGGGAGGAGGAGGAGGAGGGAGGGAGGAGGAGGAGGAGGAGGAGGACGGGTCGCCTAAGCCCTTCGGAGAAACCCTCCATTTCGCGGAACGCCTCGACGCAGCGCGCGTCGTCCTGGTCCGGCGATCCAGAGAAGAGCTGCGCCCGCCTCGCGGCCACGTGCACGTGCCTGCGCCCTGTGGAGCACCAGCGTTGCGGGAAACGAGATGCTGAGTGGTCCGCGGTCGGTTTTGAGCTCTTCCAGGCGAGAACGCACACCCTGCACAGAGTCCGCGGGGAGGCCACCGCAGCAGATCTTCCTCAGCCAGCGGCTCCTCGCAAGCGGCGCTGCGGCTTCGCGGGGGCCGCGCGGCTCAAGCGCCGCCGGGGCGCCGCCGCCGCCGCACGGCTTGAGCCAAAACGGCTACGGACCTCGCGATCCTTCGACCTCTGACCCCACCTGGGAGGCCTGGACCCTAGTCATCCCCATCCCCCTCCCCCATTGGCCACCCCCGATAGCCAGACCGATCGTGTGGCCCAGTGCCGACCTGGCTGGGACAGGGTGACAGTGCTGACGCGGCGGAGGCGCGGGGCAAGGGGCCCAGAGGACACACACGCACACATGACAAACTACTGAATTCGATATGTTTGTCAGCATTCCATTGGTTTTCCTCAGCCCGCCATGTCCAACATGTTCTTGTAATTCCAATAAAACCAGCGTTTATGTTCGGCGGCGAGCGAGGGGGGGAAGTGAGAAGGGGCGGGCCTTCCCAGAAGGCTGAGAAGTCCCTGGGCCATCTGAGAAGTTTTCTGAGTCTGTCCCGAAGACACAATACAACTTGTCAGAAGGCGCGAGGGCTTCTGAGAAGCCCCGCCGCTTTCTGAGAAGGCCTTTTCCTTATCACTTCCCTCCCTCGCTCGCCGCCGATATGTGCGTCTGCGTATATACTTCCCTCTGGACGGAAATCCTGTCGCCATCGCCTCGTCGCCGTTGACGTGCTGGCTGAGGTTCAGCGCGGGCAGGCCAGGCCGGCTGGCCTGCGGCCAGGGGCTGGAGAGGGCAAGCTGGCGGGCGGGGGCCGGGCGCGCACGTCGATGCTTCTCGACCTCGTGCAACGCCTCGTCCACCTCGTTCGTCCACCACCTCCTCCTCCGCCTCCTTCTTCGAAGAGGGGAAATGAGAAGGGGGAAGTTTCGGGCTCGAGACTCGAGGTCATCGGACGTCTCCGTCGTTTCTCGGCGGTCTTCCAGCCTCGGGGTGCGTTCCAGCGGCTGCGCCGCGCCGACGGCGTTCCGGGGGTGTCCGGATCGTTCCGAACAGCCGCCGGAGACCCGAGTCATGACCCAAAAACCAAATTCGTCTGCGAGCGGAAAGGGAAATCAGAAGGAGAGAAGGCCCTTTCATAAGGCAGCGGGACTTCTCAGGAGCCCCCGCGACTTCTGAGAGGTTCGTTGTGTGTCTTCGGGGAAAGCTCGGGAAACTTCTCGGAAGGCCGGGAGACTTCCGAGCCTTCTGAGAAGGCTTCGCCTTCTCACTTCCCCCCTGGTTCGCCGCCGACTCTTCCCGCATCATCAACCCTCGCCTTCCACCTCAGCCTCCGCCCTCATCCTTCCTCCCCGCTGCCCCGAAGGCGAGCGTGCGAGAGGCGCCCACGCTGGCACTGCGCGGGCGCCCCAAAGAGGGGCGGCAAGCCAGGGGCAGGACAAGAGGCAGCAGCGACGGCGGACATCCCCTCGGCCCTCGCGCCAGCAGGATCGGGAGGGAGGTGCAGCCAGGCAACGTGCGCCTCCGACCGTGCACAGCCAGACGAGGCTCAGGGGCGATGGCGCACCTGCGCGAGGCGGCGGTGGC